AAAAATTAGCTGGGCATGGTGGCACGTGCCTGTAATCCCAGCTACTCAGGAGGCTGAGGCAGGAGAATTGCCTGAACCCAGGAGGCGGAGGTTGCGGTGAGCCGAGATCGTGCCATTGCACTCCAGCCTGGGTAACAAGAGCGAAACTCCGCCTCAAAAAAAAAAAAAAAAAAAAGAATTACAGAATCCCTAATATTGGTTCTTGCACGTACTGCCTCTTTTGAGCCAAAGAACTTCTGTCCTGCAGACTTGACACCCTAACCTCCTGGCCTCTCTATCAAGGGACTAAGATGGAAGTGAAAATAGGGAAGTCAAGTTTCTATTAAAAGTACATGTTACAGTGCATTTTGACTTAACTGATTCAATGCTTCTAGACTTCATTTGAATCTAACCCTATTCTAGCCTGAAGATGCACTTTTCCCAAACACTTCTCTACTAAAAACTGGTTTTAGGTAATCAGTTCTTTACTAGGAGTCTGGTAAAGGAGAAAAGAAGAATTATCATTCCAAACTTGTCCTTGACCTTTATTTTGTCTCCTCAGTGCTCCTGTGCAGGTGCTTGGCCAGTATGGGGAAGTGACAGGGGTACCCTTTTTATAACAGTGGATAGGCTCCTCTCTTAGAGCGCTTCCCCCTGCTGTATACATTCCCTGGAATGGTTAAGGCCTTAAGGTTTTCCTTCTGATAAAATGGCTTATCTCTAGCAGACAGTAATTCCTTTCCTGAGCCCAGCCACTGGGAAGGGGAATCCCCAAGAAAAGATTTTCTGCCCTTCACGGAGAATCATTCAGAGAATCACAACAGAGAACTTGAAGCTATACTATCAATAAACATTAGTTAACTTACCCTCTACAGTGGTCTTGGAATTCAGTTAATTGTTGCAGAATCACAGGCAGCCTTGTTTAAGGTGGGGTTTTAGTTCTCCTTTTAATCATAACTGAAAAGTTAAGTTCATCTTAGTGTAACATCCTGCAGGAGGATTTTCAAAGGAAATGAATCTGTAAAGCATGGAATGAGAGGACCTTGTAGAATGAATGGAAGATTTGGCTGTATCTGTGTGTGCTGCTCATATGAACAAAACTAAATACTCAGTGATTAATAACAAAGATGAATCGCTGTTTGTGGTTGCTGAATACTCTGATCATATACCTGCCATTTCACCCTTCTGTATGAGCACAGATGCAGAATTCCAGAAAAAATACTTTATAGATTATTAAAGAAATATTTGACAAAATAGATAACTACAGTTGATCTTTGAACAACACAGGGTTGAACTGCATGGGTCAATGTAACATTTTTTCAATAAATATATTGAGCTTTTTTTGAAGATTTGCAACAATTTGAAAAAACTTGCAAACTGTGTAGCCTAGAAACACTGAAAAATTTTTAAAAGTTACGTATGTCATGAATGCATAAAATATGTGTAGATACTAGTCTATTTTTATCATTTACTACCATAAAATATAAACAGACCTATCATAAAAAGTTAAAATTTATCAAAATGTATGCACACACTTGCAGCCCAAACATGGCGCCATTTGTAGTGGAAAGAAATGTAAACAAATGTAAAGATACAGTATTAAATCATAACTGCATAAAACTGTCATACACACTGTACTGCTATAATAATTTCGTAGCCACCCCTTGGTGCTATTGCAGTGAGCCTAAGTGTTGCCAGTATCCGCTTTAAGCTGTGTAATGCTAATCATCTCTGAGTAAGCAGATCATCTCTCCAGTAAATTGCGTATTACAGTAAAAAGTTATCTTTCATGGTTCTCACATATTTTCCATCGTGTTTAGTGCAATAATGCAAAACTTTAACACTATGGTACCCATACGAAGTGTCACTGTTAAGGCTGAAAGTGTTCCCATGAAGCAAAGTCACAACATTACAAGAAAAAGTTGAATTGCTTGATACATACCATAGATTGAGGTCTGTTGCTGAGATTGCCTGCATTTCAGACAGACAATTCATCTTGTGAATAGACAATGTAAACTTACGATATTGATATAGTATACTACTGTGGTTTCTCTTATGATGCTCTTAATAACATTTCTTTCTTTACTTATGGTAAGAAGACAGTACACAATATATATAAGATACAAGAAATGTATTAATCAACTGTTTATGTTATTGGTTAGGCTTCTGGTCAGTAGTAGGCTTATTAGTAATTGTTCAGCTTTGGGAAAGTAAAATGTTATATGCTCACATGATTGGTTGGTGCCTCTAAATTTTATATTATTCAAGAGTCAACTGTATTGACGAGGGTATCCTGGATTCCATCCTCTTTTTTTTTTTTTCTTTGTAGAGGCAAGACCACGTTGTTCAGGCTGATCTTGAAACTCTGTGCTCAAGCAGTCCTCCTGCCTCAGCCTCCAAAGTGCTGGGGTTACAGGTGTGAGTCACCGCAAATGGCCAGATTCCATCCTCTTAAGGCCCCTGTATTAGGGGGTTCATTCTTACAGTATGAGTAAGCAGGACTTATTTAACCATCAAAAGAGTCCCTTTATGGCCTATCATATTTTACTCTCTATATATTGCTCCAAGGAATGAGACTACATTTCTTTCTCCTATCAACTTAGCCTCAGCATATGTTATCTCTGTTTTTCCCTTCCAGCAAAAGCTGCTTTAGGGAAACAATCTGATGAATTAGATATAAATGACTAATAAGGCTTAAAATATTACTTTTCCCAGGATTATGGTTTTGTGCTAGAGAAAAAAAAACTACTTAAGGGATAAAATTCTAATGGCAGAATTTCAGGTGAGTTGGAGAAAAGGTTTTTGGTTATAGGGACTTTTCTAGCCTGGATGGTAGTCTGCCAGATTGGTCCTGATAATGAGTTTAAATTTTTAAAAGGCTAGGACCAGGGCAGCTCTTGGAGGGGAGAGGGGGGCGGTTAAGTTTACTCGATCTATGCATCACATTTAAAGGAGTCTTGAATCAACCTGAGATTAGAGGCAACTCTGGAATCACAGAATCCAGCTGGTTTTCCACTGGTATGGGAGTTAGTCCATCCTGGGATGCTTTAGGAGAATGACGCTTTCAGTTCAGAGCCATGCCATTTGAGTTCTAATCAGACCCAAGCCGGTTTTTGAAAATGGAGAAAGAAATCTTCCTAGCGATGATTACAAATAGCTTGTACTCTAGCTTTGTATGCAATGGTTAAGATTCATTTTCACATAAAATAGATATCCAGCTTGGTATTACTGGTATAGCTGCTTGCCATTTCCTAGCTTCCAGAGAATACTCTTACCTCTAATTCAGCATTGAATCTATCTGAACACTTCAGTACTACCTGTAAATCTTCAAATTCTGCTCTGTGCTAAAGAAATAATACCTGAATTAATTCTAGCAGTTCTGCAAGTAGTTAAAAATGCTCCCAACTTGGCCGGGCGCGGTGGCTCAAGCTTGTAATCCCAGCACTTTGGGAGGCCGAGGTGGGTGGATCACAAGGTCGAGAGATCGAGACCATCCTGGTCAACATGGTGAAACCCCGTCTCTACTAAAAATACAAAAAATTAGCTGGGCATGGTGGTGCGTGCCTGTAATCCCAGCTACTCAGGAGGCTGAGGCAGGAGAATTGCCTGAGCCCAGGAGGCGGAGGTTGCGGTGAGCCGAGATCGCGCCATTGCACTCCAGCCTGGGTAACAAGAGCGAAACTCCGTCTCAAAAAAAAAAAAAAAAAAAAAAAAAAAAAAAAAAAAAATGCTCCCAACTTGAATAAAATAACTTGAATATCTTAGGCGTTATTTCAAGTGTTTGCCTCTAATGTACAACTCATTTTGGTAAATAATTACTTAGTGAAATTTATAAAATTTCTTTTGCAAGCCAAAAAAAAAAAAGTCTGTAAGGTATATACAGCTCTTTATTCAAAAAATCGTCTGTAGGGGATATACCTCTTTATTCAAACTTGGTAATAAATAATTATCTCTGGAATACAGACAGAACTGAACCAGGGACTTCAGGGACTCAGGGACTCAGAGGCTAATTATCATCACTGTTAAGTACAGCAGAGAATGGGGGTGGCGGATGGTTTGCTCCGCATTACGCTCCTTCTCTGGGTAAAACAAGGCCGTCTTTTCTGTGAACATACTTAAAGCAAGAACTGCAAAAACTGTGCAATGTTATGGTTGAGGCTTTCTATTTGCCATATGTGTTGACAGAATGCTTAAGAGTCTCTCTCCGCAATAAACGCAGACCCTGCCAAGCTGAAATATTAGGGCCGGCGCAATTCAACGACTGCACCACCACCGAGCCGCTGGGGTTGGAAGCTCGCGTTGCATCGGAGCGTACCCAATGTTTCCTCTAACAAAGGCATGATCTTGAGGCCATTTCGCGGGCCATTTTCCCCCTCCCAGCGCCAGCTTTGTCTCCCCTCCAGTGTGAGGCTGAGACCTGGAGGCTGGGCTGCGTGGCTGGGGAACAAGCTCCAAGGGCGGGCGTGGGAAGCTGCGCCGTGCTGCCGCTGTGGTTTCCTGCGACCTGAGCGTGCCATTAGAGGAAGTTGGAGCGCTGCAGCTGCAAGAGATACCTGCTGCCTTCAAACAGGGGCTGGACTCCAGCAACCCCTGTGCACCGATTACTGTCGCACAGAGAAACTCCCTCGGCCGGGGCGGGGGAGGCCTGGGGGCTATCTGTCTCCCTGGCTGGGTGTGGGGCCCCGAGCAGACGGCAGGGTCGGCGTCCGCAGCGTTCTCCACCTTGGGGGGCTCCCGAGCAGGGGCGTGCGGGGTCTAGGAGCCGGCGGGGAGCGGCGGGCAGGTCTCGCAGACCTGGGCCGGGGCGGGCCTCACGCCGCGCTTCGCCTGCGAACTCGCGGCCACCGGCCGCCCCCCCTCCCCCGGCCCCCGGCCCCCGGCCCCCGGCCGCCGACGTCGGGCCGCACCGCCCCCGCGCGCTGACTGGCCCGCGCCAGCCTCCAGCCAGGCTGTTGGCGGTTGGAGCGAAGCCGGCGGGAGGGCGCCCCGCCCCGCCCTCGCCGCGGAGTCGCGGCGCGCAGCCTCTTTCCCCCCTCACGGTCGGGGCGGTGGCGCTGTAGCCGCTGCGGCCTGTGAGGCAGTAACTCCCCTCCGCCCCTGCCCCATTCCTCCTCCTTTCTCTCCGCTCCCTCCCACCTCCCTCCCCTCGCAGTCCCTCGCCCTAGTGAATGTGGCGCGGCGGCGCGGGACGCAGCCTCGGCCCCTGCCGCGGCCCCGCGAGCTGGTGAAGAGACGAAGCTGCCCCCTGCTCCCGCCCCCTGCGCGTCTCGGGGAGCCACCACCGCTGGGGAAGGAGAACGAGGAGGGCAGCGGAGGCACGGCGGCGGGAAAACGGGAGAGGGAGGAGAAGAGGGTTCGAGGACTAGTGGGGAAGGCAGGGAGGGACGGACGGAAGGACGGACGGCCCGACGAGGGGGCCGCCATTGAGCCTGCCAGGCTCTTCGGCTCAGGCTCCGGGTGGCGGCGGCAGCGGCGGCGCGGACGAAGGGCGCGGCAAGCACTGTCGAGACAATAACCCTGCCGCCCGGCTCTGGGGGCGGCGGAGAGGAAGCGGTGGCGGCCTAGCACGGCCGAGGCTCGCCGAGCGCCCGGGCAGCGTCCTCGCCCCCGCCGGCCGGGTACCGCCGCCGGCCGGTGTGCGGGGCGCGCCAGTTGCCCGGAGCCCTAGGCTCCCGGCGGCGGTCCCGTCCCCTCCCCCTCTCCGGTGCGCGCGGAGCTGGTTTTCCGGGTTCCCCTGGACGGAGCTGGATCCTGCTTCTCGCCAAGGCAGGAAGTGAGTTTCGCACTGCAATTCCGGGCGGTGTCACGAGTGAAAAGTTTTTTTTTTTTCCTTCGGCGGAGATCCTGGTTGGGGCTGGGAAACTCCTGCAAAACTCGAGACCAGGAAGCCAGCCCGCACCCCAACCCCCACCAAAGCCACCTACTCTTCTGCGGGAGGCCAGTCCACATCCGCTCGCACCCGAGAGAGAAATTCAGCTGGATCCAAAGTGACTAATGAAGGAAAGGAAATCATGTCAAACGAAGCCTTGAAAAAGCTGCCCTGAGACGCTGTCCCACCGAAAGGTAATTTCCACGAAAAGTGTCTCTGAGTCACAAAGTTGATGGGACTTTGTGACTCGGAAAAGAGATGAACTTTATACTGTTTTTCACTTTTCTCCAAGTTGCCCTGAATCCTCCTTTTCTCTTATAGAAGCGGATAATAATTGAGGGGCCAGTTGGTCAAACTGCAGCCCCTCCCCCCACCCCCCATCTGGACTTTGGATTTTTTGGAAAAGGTTCTAAGAATGCAGTGGGACGAAAAGTTTTCAGCAATCCGAAGAACGAATGTCTTTGTTCGGTACAGGGGGCAGAAGTTTTGGCTTTCTGGAACGTATAGAGTGTATGTTAAGTTGCTCAGTCTGGCACCTTCTGTTTGGGAAGAAAGTTTGGTCGCCGCTGCGAGTGATTTGCTGTTATTGAGATGGCTGCCGCGTTTGTTTATACTCCTACCAGTTATATGGGCGCTTTCGTTAATCGAATATAGAAGTTCTTTTTTTTTTTTTTTTCCCCCAACCCTTATCAGTGTATTTCGTTCAGTTTTAGAAACAAACAAAAAAAAATCTAGCCATTCTTAGTTGTTTTGCAGAGTGGGTAATATATTCCTTTAGTTGTGTAGTAATGTGTTTTTCAGACGTTTAGCGCCGTATAACTTGTTTAATTAATTGAAATCCAGTATCGACTAGACTTTTCTTGTAACTGATCCATTAGGAAAAAAGGAGTGAAGACTGAGCATAAAGAGGGAAGTATAATTAAACAACAATAACAACCTGTAAGACGTTTGATTTCTTAGGACTTCTGTACAGTTCAGAACAGACTGGGAAGGGAAGTAAAACGCTTAAAACGTTTTTCAGGGGATCGCAGTGATTGTGATAAAAAGCTGTGCTTTTTGAGTAGTATGGTATTTACATTTTTGTGTTGGCCCCAATGTTTTTGGTCGGTTCTGCCTAAATAGTGGTAGGTTCTGCCTAAATCTGTGGGGGCAGAATTCATGAAGCATGGCAGACATTCCACCAGTCAGAGCTATGAACACTTCTGAACCAATGGGTCGTCTTCATACATCAAACTAGTTTTGATAGCAGCAAACCCAAACTTTTTTTCAGTGGTGGTGTAGTCTTTTTCTGTTTAGTTTTTTTCCCCAGTACTTTAGTGGTACAGGGAGGTGAAATACAATACTGTACTTTTGAATATATATGAAATAAATTTTGTATCCTGGTGGTAGGTATATCCTAAATATATATTGATGTTTATAGATTGCCTATGCTATTTCACGTAATGACCGGAAACCGGAGGAGAGAGTTGATTTTCCTTAGTTCAAAGAGGAAAAATTACGTTTTAAAGATCAGGATAAAATTATTTCACAATTTGTTCTTTGCTACTTCAGCTTTATTAAGTACATCTCCAAAAGCAGTCTTTTATTTATTGCTGTAGTTTTAACATTTTTCCCCCCAGGGCATGGTCTCAGGAGATTTTTTTCTTTCATTGTTGGTCAGATTTGTAAAACATCAAGTAATTCCTGTTAAGTGAAACTAGTTTTATCAAAGAATTTAAAATGCATAACTGATCTACTTTATGATTTTGGAACACATTATTCTTGGGCATCTGAAAGAGCTCAACAAAATAAGTGACATTGAACTTCAGTTTCCATATATGGCTTATACTTGGCTTCAAAGCAGCAAAACCTTAATAGAGCAAGTCCTTTACAGAGAATTATCGCTTTATGAAGATGGTTGTTTATTAGCAAATTTTGTATAAAAAAAGTATTGCGGCATTTGAAAATGACTATTTGAACCTCTATTTTTAGATTTATTTCTTGATTTTGTTTCCAGGAGAAGAGTAGTATGTTTCAGTGCAGGCAACACATTTTATAAAGTGAGGTATTTACCTTTGTGTTTCTTTTTTTCTTCTCAGTAAGGCACAGATTCCTTCGTAGTTTACTTGGAATTCTGTTAATCACTGAATTAACTTAAATTTTAGTTTTTATACTGTTGTCAAACTATAAATATTTTTGAAGTCTTGTTTAAACCGTGACAGGTTTGAAAAGAGGTTAAAAGAACACAGTTAAAATATTTTTAAATGGCTTCAAAATTTGGTTATTTTTAGTGTCGTGTGGATTTCCTTAGATTAAATTGGGAAATAGAGAGTACTTCCAAAGTGTATATTGCACAAAATGGATGCTTAAAGGCTGTATTTATTCAAGGTAATTATGAATTTTCAGGACTTCAACTGATTCAAGTAGTACTAAGGTATGAAGTCTCCTTGCTGTTTGAGATCAAACTGTTGTAAACTTTATGTATAAAAATCTTAGAGTGGTACAAACATGAAATACAAATTTTTATTGTATGCTGTTTCTTAATGAAGTGGTAACTATAGATACAATTTAACATATATCACTGGTAAATCTCTAAAATAATTATTTTAGATATTGATGGTGTTGAACTATTAGTAGTAAATAATACACTTAAAAGTTTCAGAAAATAGGTGTATATTTCAAAATTACTTATTTCAAATAACTGCTTATAGGTAATATGATTTAGACTTTAAGCTGCTTTTGTTTTGGAAATAGATTATGGCAGTATTTACAGAGTATTTTGGATTATGCAGAATTTTTGTGATGTTGGGTAGCAATTTTTTTTTTTTCTGTAATTGCTGCTTATCCAGATTCTCTTTAAATACCTTATTTGGCTGCTTGCATTTTGACTGCCTTGCTTATTCATTTCTCTAATCTGTTACATGCTTGCTTGAGTTTTCTTTTTCTGGGAATACATTTCTATTCTAAACCTCTAAAGATGTCTTTGTCTTTTCTTTTCCTTTTCTTTCTTTTTTTTTTTTTTTTTTTTGAGATGGAGTCTTGCTCTGTTGCCCAGGCTGGAGTACAGTGGCCACGATCTTGACTCACCACAGCCTCCACCTCCTGGGTTCCAGCGATTTTCCTGCCTCAGCCTCCCAAATAGTTGGGATTACAGGCTCATGCCACTGCACGTGGCTAATTTTTGTAAGTATAAATAGTAGAGACAGATTTTGCCTTGTTGGTCAGGCTGGTCTTGAACTCCTGACCTCAGGTGATCAGCCAGCCTTGGCCTCTCAAAGTGCTGAGATTGCAGGCATGAGCCACTGAGTTCTTTTTCTGACAGTGTATATTTTACCTATGTTTAGCTGTTTACAGTGGATTGATTATTTAGTTTTTGAATTTACACTATTTGCTGCTGTAGAATATGTATACATGAATTATGCTCTATAATATCTGCTTTTGAGTTTTGTAAGGAAGTAAGTTCAGCATATTTGCTTTTCCCTTTTGTGTATTCTGCACAGTGTTATTTTTCTTTCTGGGTACCCAGGTACCCAGCTTGCTAATTTTTTTTTTTTTTTTTTTTTAAGTTGGAGTCTCTCTCTTTCGCTCAGGCTGGAGTGGAGTGGCATGATCTCGGCTCATTGCAACCTCCGCCTCCCGGGTTCAAGCCATCTGAGTAGCTGGGATTATAGGCCTGTGCCACCAAACCCAGCTAATTTTTATATTTTTAGTAGAGATGGGGGTTTCACCCTGTTGGCCAACCTGGTCTTGAACTCCGGACCTCAGGTGATGTGCCTGCCTCGGCTTTTCAAAGTGCTGGGTTTATAGGTGTGAGCCACCATGTCCTGCCTACTGCTAACTCTTGAACCATGCTACTCCCATTTTTCAGATTCACCATTTAGTGTCTCTTCTTAGGTTTCCTAATTGTAAAATAGAAATAAAGCTGCTATTCAGCTTTCTCTTCTGATTCCTTAGCTTCCTATTTTTATAGTTTCATTGACCTAGTCTATTTTCTCTGCATTTAGCTGGTTCTTTTTTTTTTTTTTTTTTTTTTTTTTTGAGGCGGAGTTTCGCTCTTGTTACCCAGGCTGGAGTGCAATGGCGTGATCTCGGCTCACCGCAACCTCCGCCTCCTGGGTTCAGGCAATTCTCCTGCCTCAGCCTCCTGAGTAGCTGGGATTACAGGCACGAGCCACCATGCCCAGCTAATTTTTTTTGTATTTTTAGTAGAGACGGAGTTTCACCATGTTGACCAGGATGGTCTCGATCTCTTGACCTTGTGATCCACCCGCCTTGGCCTCCCAAAGTGCTGGGATTACAGGCTTGAGCCACCGCGCCCGGCTTAGCTGGTTCTTAATTATATTTTTGCCATTTTTCTCTTTTCCAAACTCTGTTAGTCTGTGTTTATCACCTCATAAAACTGTTTAAAACATGCAGTAGAAAAAAATTTATCTGATCTTATTTTATCAGCTCATTTAATTCTGAATTTCCACTTTGCATTTCAACTCAGTGTACATGCCAGTATTTTAATAAATTCATCAGTATATTGTTTTGTTTTATACTTTGTTTCGTTAGTGTTCTCAGAATTAGCTGTTAAGATAATACCAGGCTGTTATTTATTCTTTTGTATTAAGATTTTATAACCCCCTCTACCTTCTTGTGTTTATACTCTTGGCCTCTTTAAACATGCAGACTTATTTCTCTGTTCCTTCTTCTATCTTCCTCTTCTGTCCTACCTTCCAATTTAGTTGTCTTTTCTGTCACAGAATCCCTAAAATTTTGAAATTATCTTCCTTTGAGTTCATCTATCACTCTATTTTTGTCATTTCAAATTTTGTTCCAGACACCATGGAATGAAGACCTTGCCAGGTTTTAAGTGATAGAATGGAAGACAATAGAAAAGAAGATTATCTAAAAATTTACTTAATAAGACTTTACTTACTGGAGATTATTTATTATAGCTTTAAAAGCATATAGAATGTAGTAAAAAAAACTAGAAAATAAAAAATGACATCTTAATCAAAATAGGTATAACAGAATCTGGGGACTTCACTTTTAGGGCTAATATTCAGAACCCCTTTACTTCTGTGCATAATGAGCTGATTTTGGTTCTTTGGTGTCGAAGGGGTGAGAAAGGCACGTTTACAGCATTGTGAAGTTAGGACCTTTGATGTTACAGTGAAGCAATAGAAAAATAGAAAGGTGACTGAATAACTTAGAAAATACTCTGTGACAA